AGAAAAAAGAAAAATTATTAAATTTAAATATGGAATGTTTAATTTCCGGCTGGATTGACAATAAAATTGGTCTATATAACGCCAATAATTCACCTTATGAATTTCAATGATTCTTTGGATGGTTTCTTTAAGGATAGATAAATGCCACGATATTGAGCAAACTGTGGTTATAATGAAAATTAAAGAAACTGATGAATTAGTTGGCGGCTATAATCCAGTTGGTTGGAATATTGAAGGAAAGCCTCCAGATGAGTTTTATTTTATAAATAGTTCAATAATAAGGATCTTGGAATGGCAGTGGGTCATAGTGAACAAAAAATTTAATATAATATAAAATTACTTTTATGGTTCTAGTGCATATTTGATAGAAGAGTTGGAGAAATTAATTATAAACATATATATTATTAATAGATGACCCGCATCATATTTTACAATGTTTTATTTATTATTGATATATTTAAGATTATATAAATAAATTATTTCTAGAAAGTTTTATATAGATTTTTGTCATTCAAATAACTACTAAATTATTATTAATTATAAAAAAACAAATATTAAATAATTATTACATATTAGTGAAATTCTCCTCCGATCATTCTCTTCTTTCAATTTCACCTGGCCACAAACCCAATCCAACATAATCATCTATTATTTCTTTAAGGCTTGCTTGCGTGACTTCTGGAAATTCATAATTAAATTGTGTTTCATCACAAATTTTTCTACCATCAACTGACAAATCGTTATTATATAAAATTTCTTTGTCTAAATAAGGAGTAAGTGGTGTATTATTAATTTTATTTTCTCTTGTGAGATCTGTCCATGGTTTCATGTGTTTTTCATTGCTTACATCAACTGCTTCATCGAGAGCTTTCTATTAGAGCAAATATAATATAAATACGTATTAATAATTACTATTAATTATTAAAACAGTTTTTAATAAATTATAAAAAAATAAACCTCAGCCGCGTATGAAGTTAATTGTTTATGAAAACCAGTTGTAATATTAAACAATGTACTGATCATGTTATTAATTTTTTCTTGATCTAATAGAAATGAATAGCTAAATGATTAGTAAACTAAATAATTATCGACTAATTGACTAATTAATTAGTAAAAAAACAACCGACTAACCTGTATCCCCAGGATCAGCTAAATTGTAAATTAAAGGACCTTTATCAGCTTTATGATTTACTTGATACCATTCAGCGATATACCACATGGCACGAGAAACATCATGTACATGAACAGTATTAACTTTCAACCTTTCATTCCATAAAAATTTCATTTCTTCATTGATATACTGATAAATCCTGCCACATACAAGACGAGGCACTGAAAGTTATATAAGGGGTGTGATAACTACAGTTTTAGAAATGACATAGATAATACAGAAACAATATATTAATCAATAAACAACTACCTAAACCCATTGTTGCACTTAATCCATAAACCATAGCAGGTCTTAAAATCACAAGGTTAAGACTAATAATAATAATAATAAAAGCATAAAGTTGTAAAATCATTATAACTATTACCATAATAGCAAACAATAACAATAACGTATTTATTATGATTAAAGAATAAAAAAAAACTAACCCTTGAATTTTTTTTAATTCTTCTTCTGCTTTATATTTATATTTGGCAATAGTTGTCCAAGGTTCTATTTTCGCATCTTCTTTATTTGGTTCCTTGCTACTTTTATAAATTTGAGCTGTTGAAAGTTCAACAAAAACTTTAACTTGACGTCTAGCAGCTTCTTTTGCATTACGAACTGACAAATTAAATATACGTTCTTCATAAACCTATTTAATTCATACATAGATACATATAATGTAAGATGATTTATTGATTTATTTGTTGATAATAATCAAAATTGTTTGATTCCATGATTTTACCGTAATATTTTGTGAATATTTGGTTTCTGCTGCCAAATTAAATACATAATCAAATGTGCTACCATCCTTTCGTTCAAACATTGCTTTAATATTATCTGATCAATAATATAATAATTAATATGATTAGAGGAATAAACAATTCATCTTTGATTTTTTTTTTTTTTTTAGTAATTAAAACACACATACTTGGATCAACCAAATCTTTTTGATAAACGTCAACTTTTCCAAATGCTTCTTTTTGTTTCTTGTTTAAAGGAACAGTTTCCAACAATAGCTTATCCACAACTCTTATTTCGGAAGCAAGTTCATTCTCTACCAAATATTGAATGAAATTTTTACCAATAAAACCTAAACCACCAAGAACAAGTACTGTCGGCTTAGTCGACATTTTTATTTATTTATATAATATATATCTAAATATATAATATTCTTTTGGAGTTGTGAAGGAATGTAAGGGTTTGTATTAATTAATATATTTTTTTTAAAAAATTTTTGGTGAATAAATTTTAATGAAAATGTTTTAAAAATAAATAAAAAAAAACAAAAGGGGAAATTTATATTTGAAATTTGAAATATGAGACGGGCACATTAGTTCAACTTTTTAGTACCCGGCTTACTATTGGTCGAAATTATAATGTATAGTGATAGAAAACAATTGTTTCCAACAATTCATTTCTTTGTCGCCTTCATTAATAACAAGATCTATTTATTATTAAACTTCAAAAAAATTTAATTTTTCTATTAGCTACCAACTAAACGTTCGTATTCCTCTATAGGGCTGAAAGAAGCAAGTGAACGGATTCCTCCATCTTCGCCGTTAACTCGTACAATTTTTATTGTAAAACAAAAACTTAATATCATTTGTCACCATCGCAGTCCACTATATATGCATATGTGCAGCCTAGTCAAGTGGTACCATAATTAAAGATTTACACAGATCAAAGAACCATAAAAATGCAAAATGTTGAATTGTGTAATGTCATGGCAAAATGGGAAAATAATGTTGTAATTCATTTGATGGTGTGATGCAATTTTTAAAATTCCATATTTTCTAACTGATGCTAAATTTTGGATTCCAGAAAAAAATTTGGTATTAGTATTTTGCGAAACTGCTCATCCATGTTGTTTTTGCATATGTGAGGTAGTACAGGTGCCCATTAATGATACAAAAGTTGCACGGGTGGTGGCACTCAAAGAATATTCATTGATCACGAGTTGAATATAACATTGTGATTGATTAAATCTTATTAATAATCAAAATCCTATAAAAAATATTTGTGAGGAACGGGAAACTTTAAAAATATACTGAATACATAATTACAATGCGGGTCACACTAACCTATCAAATAAAAATTGATCAAACTTTAAAGCTGGATAGGGAGATATTGAATGCTTGTCTGAAAAAAATAGAGACGATATTTGATTAATTAGTTCTACGATCCATCGTCGAGATAAACACTGGTTTCAGGGTTATTTACTTTAAAAGTCATGTGTTTTTATATATGTTTTTATATGTTACATGTAAAATTTTAAAGTTATCCTAAAATTTTTAAAAGTTAATAAACTCTGGAATTAATAAATATCTCAACGATGGATTGTAGAACTAGTCAATAGCTATCAAATATCGTCTCTATTTTTTTCAGATAAGCATTCAGTATTTATCAATTTTTATTCGATGCAACATGTTTAAGATAATTTTCTATTTATATATCTTTGTAAATGTACAGATAGGCACCAAGATTTATGATTTCCATAAATGTATCATCTATAGCTCCTCAATTAATCGCGGTTCCCATCTTTAAATGTTACTTAACATGATAAAATTGTAAATTTTTGATCAGTACTGTGTTACATCGCCTTTGTGATTTGACGGCTTTGATTTAATTCACCAGTCCATGTTCTGTTTGAAATTTTCCATATTTCTGAACAGAACTTGAAAAACTAGAATTTTTTTTAAAAAAATTGAAAGCATAAATAAATAGAAATCTTACTGCAGGCTGGTTTGTATGTTCCCTTTCTAAAATATATAGAGGAAAATTTAAATTAATTAAGACAATGAAAAGAATGATAATGGTCACATATAATAATAATAAGATCTAAAAAAGTGATTAATAATTAGTAGTATAATTGTTATTACAAGAATATATCATGGTCGCATAACAATTCATTCAGATTTCGTTAACCATTAAACTTTGGAAAAAGAAAAATGTAAATACCTTTTAATTTAATTATTATATTAAATATATATAAAAAATATTAATATAAAAATATATACAAAGGTTAATGGTTAAATCAGAAGGAATTGTTATGTGACTATATTTATAATGGTGTATGATCAGAAAGAATTGCGC